CGCGCTGTCGCCTCCGCCAGGTCATGGATGGAGAAGTTGAACAAGACTGGGCTGAGCACTGAGCCCTGGGGAACCCCATGAGCTACCGGCCTCCAACCAGACTGTGCCCCGCCGACCAGAACCCTCTGAGCCCTGCCATTCAGGGTTGCAGTAAGCGATGCCACGAGCATCGCTGCCGACGTTGGGCGTGTGCTGGAGGCCGATCTGCTCATTCAGCTCCTCTGCTGGGTGTCACTGGCCCGCTGTCTTTGTTAGCCAGCCCCCATGGCCTGAGCTGTGGCTGCAAGGCGGCAGGGGCTCAGCTGGGGACAACAATGGGGGTATTTTGGCTGCGTTTTCCTCTGGGGGGAGTTTGGGGTTTCTCTTAAGCCCACCTTAGGCCTTGCTGGTACCTCCTCGGTTTGCTCCCCGTTCCCCGCGCTGACGATGCCGTCCTTCGCCTTCTCCAGGTCCACGCCTGGGAGATCTCTGACCAGCTGCTGCAGATCCGTCAGGATGTGGAGTCGTGCTACTTCGCGGCGCAGACCATGAAGATGAAGATACAGACTTCCTTCTATGAACTCCCCACCGACTCCCACGCGTCGCTTCGGGACTCTCTGCTCTCCCACATCCAGAACTTGAAAGACCTGTCGCCGGTCATCGTCACCCAGGTAGGTGCCCAGCGGAGGGGTGGAGGGAGCTGCTCGATGTGAGGGAGGTCTGAGGCTGCTCTCGGCGGTCAAGCTGGGACCCTTCAGTCCTGACTTGCCCTTGAGAGCAGGCTGGTAGCCAGGCTTGTGTCACAGCCCTGCTAGAGCCGTTCCGTACCGTAATCGCCTGCCCGGCTCCGGCGTTTGTCACTTTGGACTTTTTCCGAGGCAATGCCCTTGGTCTCCCTTGGTTCCTTTTCCTCCAGCGTGGAGAATGGAGAAGGGTCGATGCCTGCAGCCGGCCCGCTCGTGCCTCCCAGTGCAGCATCGTTTGCCCTCCTTCGTTATTTGGGTCCTTCAGTTACATCAATCCCTTTATCCCGTTGCTTGCTGTCTGGAGAGGCTGACAGGAGGAGCAGCTCTTCTTGGGCTTTTCCCCATGCTCTGCAACGGAGACAAAACCTTGGCCTGCCCCGCGGTGCCCCGGGTGACTTCTCCCGAGGCGCTGGCGTGTTCTCGGGAATCCCTTCGCTCTCTGTAGGGGCATTCCCGTTATCCCTACGCGGCTCTGCAGCATCTGAGGCAAGGTTCAGTCTCTACGTAGCCCCGCGGAGGGCATCACCCCGTCGGGGCGGCGAGCGTTCCGCACTTCACCGCGGGGATCGCGCACGCAACAGGGATATTGGGGATTAACACCCCGCCTCGGCAGGCTGGGAGTTCCCTGCCAGCCCTGCCGAGCTCACGGCACCCTCTCCTGCGCTGCTGGGTGGATTTCATCCGTCACCACGCTTAGCCGTGGGGTTTGTTTTTTTTTTCCCCTTTTTTAAAATTTATTTATTTATTTTTGTTCCTCTCACCCTTTCAGCTTGCTTTAGCAATAGCAGACCTTGCCCTGCAGATGGCTTCTTGGAAAGGCTGCGTACAAACACTGGTTGAAAAGTAAGTAATGCTTTATATCGCTAAACTAAATCGTTCCTTGAGTAAATGTGGAGTTGGGTGGACCCGCATGGTCCAAAAAAGCAGCCAGCAGCCCGACTGTCGGGAATTCTTTCCTTCTTGATTAATATTTTAAAGTGGTTTGGATCGGGGGGGGAGGCTGTGTGTGGCTCCGTGTAACGGAGAGGCCGTGCACGCTTCCGTGGACGTGGCTCTCTGAGCCTCAGCGATTTTCCTCATCCCTGTTTTTGTTCCCTGATGATCCCTCACCCCCTGCCAGCTCGAGCCGTAGCGCGGGGTTGAACGGGGAGGTCGAGCCGTTGGCTGCTGCTGCTGGGCGTCCCCAGGGGCTCGCTCGTAGGCTGGGAAAGCTTTTGCTGTTTTTCTTGTTGAAAATCTCGAGCTAAACCACTGGCAGAGGCTCCTCCCGATGGCGCTCTGCCCTCGCAGCTCGCCGCCGCCGTGTGCCTGCAATAACACTCGTGTGGAAGCTCCTTGAAGCGCCCCTCCGTCCCTCGCTGCGCTGCTAACCCCCGCGCTGGTATTTGGGGGCTCTCGCCTGCCGCCACGCACCCTCCTTCCTCCCTCGTCTTTCAGGTACAGCAATGATGTTACATCGCTGCCCTTCCTGCTGGAAATCCTCACGGTGCTGCCAGAAGAGGTTCACAGCCGATCCTTGCGCATCGGAGCCAACCGCCGTACCGAAATCATCGAAGATCTGGCGTACTATTCCAGCACGGTCATCTCTCTGCTGGTAAGGAGACCGAGCAGCCACCGAGCCCTGCTCAACCGCTAAAAAAATTCATGCAGCTTCTCCCCGTCCGCATCACCGATCCAGATTATTCCAGCTGGTCTGGCTGCGAGGCGCTGATTTTACCTGTTTCGGTCCCAAGCAGATCAAAGTCCCAGGCAGGTTCCCGTTGTCAGCGCTGGATCAAAAATGGAATTAGGGAAACTTTGCTTTCTCACCCGCTCAGCCAGACCCTGCGTGTGCGGCCTGCGTTGCTTCCGCTGGTGGTACGGCGGCCGCTCTGTCTTCTGGCGCCGCGTATTTTGAGTTCAGGGAGGAAAAGGCTTTCGTCTCCTGGGCTAAAGTAGTCGCCTAGGACCGGATTCCTCTGCAAGCTGTTGCAGTTTGGGGTTATTTGATGGTTAAGCAAGGAATTACTGCAGCCCATTATGCAGGTGTGTATGTGGGCCTCGAGGTCTCCTTGAGATTGCCTCAAGACCTCCCCGAGATCTCCTCGAGATCCACGCGCGTCTCTCTCCCTGCACGTGTTAGAGGAAGGTCGTTCAGGTACTTAGAACTGGGACTTCTCTCCTCACGCCCCTTTTCAGACGCATTTTTCTCACCGTCATGCGATAAGCTGAGGTTACGTGTCCAGCCATGGGTCCCATTTAGCATTGGCCAAACAGGGAGGCTGTAGCTCGATCTCCTGGTTCTTCTTCAAAGTTTTCCTCCTGCGGGGAGCAGTCATGCTCTTCAAGAACAAGACCATCGTGGGCCCCGAAACAGGGCGAGTTTGGGGAGCAGTGAATAAGCGTTGAGGTGAATGGCTTCAGGGACTGAAAAGAAACGCTCCTTTGCTGGCTCCTTCCATTCCAGAAGGGCTTCTCCCATTCATTGGGGTTCTCTGAGCTCAGTGCATGAGTACCCAGCCCGATCCCCAACTCGGGCTTCGAATGGAGCAGGTCCCGTAGCTGCTAGAGCTTCCCGTAGGCATCTGCCGTTCCATGGTGCTTATCTAAAGAAGGAAAGGGAACGTCCCCTCGGCAGCGTGTAGCCAGTCATTCCACTGAGCAGCTGGTAAATCATAGAATCATGGAATGGTTTGGGTGGGAAGGGACCCCCAGAGGTCACCCAGCCCAACCCCCCTGCAGGAGCAGGGACACCTTGAACCACATCAGGTTGCTCACAGCCCCCTCCAACCTGGCCTGGAATGGTCCCAGGG